AGAGGAAGAGAGAGGGATAGAGAGTTAGAAACATCGATGAGAGAGAAACATTGATCAGCCGCCTCCTGCACACCCCCCAATGGGGATGTGCCCGCACCAAGGTACATGCCCTTGACCGGAATCGAATCCGGGACCTTTAGTCCGTGGGCGGACGCTCTATCCATTGAGCCAAACCGGTTTTGGCCTGCTTTAGTTACTTTCATATTTCAAAGGTATTTGTTGAGCAACTACTATGTGCCCGGCCCTGTGCTAGGTGCTGGGGATACAGCAGAGAACAAAACCAGCTGTGGAGCTTCCCTTCAGCAAGGCATTCATCAAATAATCACACAAATGGATGTAACATGGCAACCGTGGAATGAATTTATTTATGAAAATGTAATAGTTGAGAATCCCATTGTGTTGGCACTGAGTGTGTGTGTGTACTCTCTGTTTCCAGGGAGCCTTGAGGTGTGTCCGAGTCCACGTATCATCCCCCCGTCTCCAACCTGTGCAGAGAAGGAGCTGCCCTGGAAGAGTGGGCAGGGGGACCTGGTGGTCTACGTATCCTCGGAAACCACCAAGATTGTGCCCGTGGACATGCAGATGGGCTGGAACCAGAGCATCTCGTCCCTGGAGAGCCTGGCATCCCCATCCTGCACCCAGGCCCCGACTGTGACGCGTCTGCCTCCCCGCCCGCTGGCTGCTGAAGAGCCCCAGGCCCCTCTTGAGCTGCGCCCTAGCTTCGCCTTTCCCCCGAGCCTGGCCAAGGCTGGCCGCTCTCGCAGCGAGAGCAGCGCTGACCTCCCCCGGCCACAGGAGCTGCAGCCCCTCATGCAACACGAGGACCAGTCGCACCTTAGCCCAGGCACCGCCAGCTCTCACTGGTGCATCCAGTTCAACAGAGGAGGCCGGCTGTAGCCCAGGGACTCCAGCGGGCGCAGGAGACTGGGGTCCCTGTGGGAAGTCCCCGCAGAAAGGACAGAGGAGCCCATTCAGCCTGGCATGGGGTCAGAGGGGCCTGAACTGAAGTAGCAACTGGGCTCCTGAAGGGCAGGTCAGAAGGGTCTCCTGGGCTGGTCCCGAAAGGGGCCCTTTTCACAGCCACCGCCACTGCTTCTCACTCCTGCCACCTCCCCCGAGCGAGGGCCTGGGCCCAGAGGCTTGGGCTGCTGATGTCCCTTCCCCAGAGGGTCTTCCTGGGGTCACGTTAGGCAGTTTCCTGCCCCCAGTGCAAGGAAGGAAACCACAAAGGCATTTAGTGAGATATGCCTCATTCCTCGGCGGACACTGGCCTTTTCTGCCCTCCATCCCCTCCATAGCTCCAGCTCAAGGACAGTGGCAGTGAGGTTCCTCAAGGGCTGTCCTCAGAGGGCTTAGGTTGGAGGTGGAGCAGGTTTCAACCTCGGGCTTTGCTGCCCTGTTCTGTCAGCTACCTATAACCAAAATTCTAAGGGCATTGGGGATCTGTCTTCCCTTCTTGCTTTACCTCCTTCCGTGTGCTGCCCGTTATTGGGGTGATCGCTCCTCCTTTTCCAGGACGAAGGCCACAGAGCTGGGCCAGGCTTCAGGTCAGGGCTGCTTTTTAGCCAGGGTCACTCTGAGGCCCTGCTGCTCTGTGTCCAACTCTGGACCTTTCAGGTCCTTGGATCTGGTTTCCTAAGGAAGGGAGGCGGTGGCTACCCTGATGTTTCCCAAACAGGAATGGAGCCAGGGCCACTGCTCCACTGCTCTGGGGGCTGACAGGGTGGCAGGGGACTTGCCTGGGGTTAGAACCTGCCCTGTTTTATACCTTGAACTGAAGCTACATTAAACGTCCCTCAGATGGGTGGGTGTCCCGTGTCCAAGTGTCTGGGTGTCTAGGGGTATGGGGTGACAACAAGGGCATTTGGTGAGGGAAATAGAAACTTCCAACTGCCTGCCCCAGAGCTTCTGGGGCAGAGATCGGAGGGGGATCCTGGGAAGGACTGTTGGGCCCTCCGACCTTCCCTCCCTCCGCTCCTGGACCTTCCCAATATTGTCCCCTTTCAGGGGCCTGCAGAGGCAGTCCATGACCACGATGGGCTCAGGGAGTCCACATAATGGTGAAGGCCAGCAGGAGAAGAGACCCCAGAGGTCAGGTGCCATGGTGTCCAAAGATGCAGCCACCACACGACCGATGAGCCTTGAAAACGTGAAGGCAGGTGCAGGACAAACGGACAGAAGTGCTCTGCACCTGGTGGGTGGGAGGGCAATCTCAAGGAAGCTGGCTACTATGAGCGTTTGCGATGCAAATTGGGTAGTGTGGGCTCCAGAAACATCTAGGGATAGAAATTCCTGGTAACAGCAGTTCTAGATTCAATTTCCTTAAAGGGGAATTGAGTCTGAAGGACTTTAAAAAATGGCATATATCTTGCTCTGGTCAGTGTGGCTTAGTTGGTTGAGTGTTGTTCTGTGCACCAGAAGGTCCCAGCTTGATTCTGGGTCAGGTACGCAGGTTGCAGGTTCCATTCCCACTTGGGATGCATGAGGAGGCAACTAAGGGGTGTTTCTCACGTTGCTGTTTCTCTCTCTCCTCCTTTCCCCTCTCTCTAAAATCAATAAAAAACATTAAACAATACATCTATCTTTACTAAGATATAACATGCATACCTTAAAATTCACCCATTTACAATGTACAGTACAGAGATTTTTAATATATCGAGTTGTGCAACACCACCATCTCAGTTTAGAACATTTTCATCATTCCCAAAAGTTACTCCTGACCCCTGGCTAAGCCCTAGGTAATCACTAACCCACTTCCTGTCTCTAAAGATCTGAAGGACTTGACACACTGCCAAGGTTACACATGGAGTCCCTTTTTCTGTTAGGCCTGGGGAAAGTGGGAAGAAAAGAGGGATGCAAGCTTTGCACTCAAGTTGTTTACAGATGGCAGTGGTAAGGCCTAGCAGTTAACAGTCCCAGCTGACATTCACCAGGTATGGCATCAGTGTCTTCACCTCTAAAATGGGATAACAATCATACTTATTTCATAAGGTTGCTATCAGGATTCAACGGTAAAATAAGAAGAATCTAGTACAGAGCCTGGCCCACAGGGATCACAAATGTTGGTCATTATTGGTCTTATAAGGCAAAGAACCCTGACAGGAGGAGGAGATCTGAGTAGGCTTTGGGAGTGTGTGTAGAGGCTCAGACAATACAGGCAAAGCTGGGTGGGTGCATTCTAGGTAGAAAGAACAGCATAAACAAAGGATGCCTAGAGCACAACCAGCAAAAATCAAGAAGCAGTGGGTGATGTGACTGAGAGATACCAGCCAGGGACCCAAGGCTTGGGTAGGCAGACTCTGCTGATGTGTGTTTTTTTTGGCTGAGGCTACTTGGTGAGTTTTGGGGGTCTTCCAGAGAGAGCTGGCCTGGGGGAATTTGGATCTGGGAGTGGTGTGGGCACTGAAGTGCTATAGGAAGCTCCGATGTAGCTGAGCCAGAGGGAAGATGTGTGAAATCCCAGGATAGGGTGGTAGAGGAAGGACCAGAGAAGACTACTCCGGCAGCCCAGGGCCGTGAAGGGGCTGGTTCTGGAGAGGACAGGCAGCCATCCCCAGACTTTAGCGTCAGAATCATCGAGGAGCTTATCAAACATGCAGATTCCCGGGCCTGCTGGGAAGGTTCTATAGTGTAGGGGAGGGGGTACTAGGTGGTTCCTGGGCCTGTTGCTGGGTAACTAAGAACAGGGACTGCCAGGCGGATAGGGTTGGCCAGAGGCAAGGGGGCTGGGGGAGGAAAGCAGGTGAGCTCAGGCCGGGGAGACAGGTGTCTGGAATGCAGGAGAGCGAGCAAGTCACGAGCTCAGCTGTGGGTTACCACCTGACTGGGCAGAAGGGCAGGAATGGCCTTCAGTGCCACCTGAGCTGCATCCAGGCCTGGAAGGAGGAAGGATTTTGACCTGGGGAGGTGGGTGTGGGCATGCCAGGTAGAGAAGAGGTAACTAAGGCTTCTAATCAGATCAGTTTTGCAGGCCAGGATAGGACCTGGACAAGGAAGGCTCGGACGATGCCTCTGGATGGCCTCGAATGCCACGCTAAGGAAACTGGAATTTATTTAGGTCAAAGGGGAGAGAGGTCTAGAAGGTTAGGGGTATACGTCACCCTCACTATCCGGGGCAGTATTGAAGAGGGTATGTAAATTTGGGATGGAGTTAGGGTAATGAGAACAGGTCTCTTATCACTAGGACCACGGAGGCACAGCGCATTTTATGTTTGGTTTATTTATATTGGCAAGAAACGGGAGGCTGAGGGAAAGGGAGGGAAGGCTGGGAAAAGGGCAGGGGAGGGAAGCCCATTCCCATTTTATGATCTCAGTGGAAAAGGCTGCTGCGAGTATATTCTGCTGCCAGGAGAGCCACAGAGATGGGCCCCGTGAGTCACTGCTCAGTCCTGCCACCTCAGCCCACAGAGAGCCTGCTGTGGTCAGCAGCCCCGGCTGGCTCCAGGCCCAGCCCCCGGTATTCCAGTATTCCTCACCAGGCCTCAGGCTGTCCCCATTTCTGTATTTTTGCCATCCTGGGCCGCATATCCTGAAGCTCTCTGCCTCTTTTGTGTCCTTTTCCCATTTGTGAATCCGGCTTACATCTGGCTCATGGATAGAGAGCCGCGGGAGGGCAGGGGCAGTGTGGCCAGTCTCAGGCACCCCTTAAGCACTTATTATTGCTGGAAGTACTGAGTGGACAGCACATAGTCTCTGTTTTCATGAAGCTTACAAGGCACATTCTATGTGGCGTGAACAAACCAAGCCCTGGCCCTGGCCCGAATCTGTTTGCCTGTGCTCGGTGGTGCTGGGGTTAGCCATGGCCTGCGGCTAGGGGCCTCTTACCTCTTATTTACTTCTGGCATTGAAGGGGTATGTGTCCCTGCCAGCAGGTTCCCCCCTCAGCTCTTAGGGCTCCTAGGGGGCCTGGCTAGTGGGTGGGGGAGGGCAGACCGTGGGCAGCAGAAGGGGTGGGAGGGAGCAGGATGCAGTGACTCAGTGGGGCGGCCCTGGGACAGCTGGGGAGGGAGCCAAGGTTAGACTTGATGCTCACTGAAGCTGGAGGAAGGTGGGATGAGAGGACCCACTGGGGGCTGGGGATGGAGCAGATCAGCTCATGAAGGAGGCTCCTCGGTAGAGTCTGGACTCGGGGTGGTGATGTGACAGCTGGGAGGAGGGGGGATTGCTGTTCTCTGCTTCTGATGCTCGGCCTCCCTCCTCTGGCAGGCTCCCTGGGCTCACGAGGGAGGTCCCTGCCTTAAGAGTCAGGGAAGCCATTGCACCCAGGAACCAAGGGCCTGAGTATATTGTGGGGCATGGTGCCTTCTTTTGGCCACGTAGCTTACCTTCCAACCCTCTTCCCAGAAATTTTGGGGAGTGTTAGGCTAGGCCCACATGTCTCAGCGGGACCTCATACTTCAGAACTGGGAGAGGTCTCACTGGTCCACTATCCAAGAGACTTTCACCAGTTGAGGATCCATGACCGAGGGTGAAGTGTGAGGGGCAGGGTGGCCGCAAGTGGAGTTTGACCTATGGGGGTCTTCCCTAATCCTCATGGCGATCCCAAGAGAAAGAAATGACTTTTTTTCTTCTTTTTTAAACAGGCGAGTAAGGTGAGGCTCAAAGAGAACTGAGTTGATCAAGTTCACCCAGCAGGTAAGTGGAGGAGCAGGCCTGCAGGACTCTCTCTCTCTGCTCTAGGACCAGGCCTCATTCCTCACCTCCAGGGCTGGACTGTGCAGGGAAGGGGTGTTGGCTGAGGAAGGGGTGTGTGTGAAAGAAGTGCCAGGAATGCCGGGCAGTGGAGGCTCTGGGCCTGGTGGATTGGTGGATTCTGCCAGGCCTGGGTCAGCTCCCAGCCCAGTGACCTCCCTGCCCCACCCCTCCCCATCATGGGATCTGTCTCTTGGTGCCTAGGCCTGTAGTCTGTGGCCTGGAGGGAACTTGGGGGTTGCAGTGGCAGGGAACCTCCCTCCCACCCTCCATAAAGATACCCTTCCTGTCTCCTAGCAGCCCAAGCAGCTGATCTGGGCTTAGGGCGTCTCTCTTTCTAGGGGCCGGTCCCCAATTTTCTTCTGGCTGAGAACAATTAGCGCTCCTTGTTTTCCTTCGGGAACCCGCTGGGACAGGAACCCCCCACATTTCGTGCATGTGCATTCTGGAGCAGAAGCCCCCCCCCCCCCCCCCTTATACCCCAAACCCTTCTCCCCACCCCCAGGAGGATCCGAGGGGTCCCTTACTTGCAAGCCTACATCTCCTTCCCTGGCGGGAACCCGCTTTTCACTCTTCGGCGGCGAGTGGGCACAGCGGAATGGCCGTTGGTCTCTGTCAAAGTCACTGGGGCCTGGGGGTGCGGGGGGAATCCAGCCGCCTGGGCCGCGGGGAGGGAGGGGCCGCGGCCTCGGCTGTGTCCAGCGCCCAGGCGTCCGCCGTGGGGTCGGGTGGCGCGGTGGGCTGTGTTCCGTCCTCCGGCCTCCAGGGGGCGGCGCGGCGCCGTGACCTCGAGCGCCCTGCGGTCCCTCCCGCCGCGGCCGGGAGGGGGCGCCCGCGGACGCCGGCTGCACGCTGGTACGGCCGTCGAGGCTCCGCTGCTGACGTCCGTCCGGGCTCCGGTGTGTGGCCTCCCGGCTTCTTCGCTGATCCTCGTAGCAGCGTGTCCGGGGGCGTGAGTGCGGGGACGGGCAGGGTGGAGGCGCACGAGTTCCCGGGCGAGGCGTGCTTCCCGTTGGGCCCACGCCGCCTGCAAAGCCGCGAGAGTGCGCTCGGGAAGGCGGGAGCCCACGTGAGCGGAAGGGAGACCCCTGCCTTTCCCCCTCTCCTCAGGCCTGGACTGCGGCTACGTCTGCGCTCCCGGGGCCGGGGCCGGGCACCCAACCTGGCACCTCCTACGGCCTAGTGCCTTCTGCCTGCCTTGCCCGCCGAGAGCTACCCCGTCGACCTACCGACCTACCGACCGCTTTGAACCCCTTTTCCTGGATGAGCTGAGGCCTCCGTTCACACCGAGGCCCCAGCCCCCCTCCCGCTTGCCATGAGCAGGCCCAGCCTTGAGGAGTGGGTGACGGAGGAGTCCCTGGAGGAGGATGGGGATGAGTCTCCAGACTCCCAGGGCCGAGCCGCCGACTGGAGGTTTGCTGTGTGCCGTTTCAGGGATGCCTGGGATGAGGAGGAGCCTGCTCCCCAGGTGCAGGTTAAGGACCCCCCCAATCCTCCAAGACCGCCAGCCGGGGCAGCTCAGGGGGAAGGGCTACAGGCCGGCCCCCTGTCTGGGGAGCTTCAGCCAACCCCAGGACGGGTGCCTGGAGATGGGTCAGGGGATGGCCAGAGGGGCGCGTTAGGAGGTCCCTCAGGCAAGTCCGAGGAACCGGTCCCCTCTGAAGTGAAGAGCCTCCTATGCCTCATGTCCTCCCACCTCAGCCTGGCACAGGGCAGTGGTGCCAGCCAAGGGGGAGACTTGGCAGGGGACCCTGACTCAGGCAGGCTAATGACAACTGACTTGGACCCTGGGGAGTCGGGCAACGATTCTGTGAACCTGGGAGGCCCGTTACCTGAGACATCATCACAGCTGCTGGCGGCAGGTAAGGGAGGCGGGGCTGAGATGTCCGGGAAGCGGGTGCGAGGGCCTGGAGAGGGATGCCCAGACTTGGGGAGAGCCCCAACCCTACTCAGGCCAAAGTCCCAGGTCTGAGGAGGGGATCTTTGGGCCAACGCAGACCCAAGCCTTTTTCCCTTTCCAAGACCCTGATGGATCCAGCCTCCCTGAGCCCGCTGACTACCTTCTGGCCCAAGACCTTGCCTGGGAGCTGCTGGCCAGTGGCATGGCTGCCCTGCCAGGTAGCAGGAGGGACTAGCGGTGGTGGAGGTAGGCGGGTGACTTGTCTGGGAAGATGCTCACTGCCCTCTCTCTCCCCACAGGGACTCGGGATGTAGACGGCCGGGCGGTGCTGCTTCTGTGTGCTCATAGCCACACCTGGCTTCATCCCAAGGGCAGCAGCCAGGAGCTCCTCCGCCTGCTGCTCTACCTGCGAAGCATCCCCAGGTTGTGGGGAGGAGGCTGGGAGGAGAAGGCTGAGGGGAGAGCCTGAGCCCACAGATGTCAGGGCCTGGGGATTGGGTACTGAAGGAAGCCTGTTCCCTTAGCCTCGAAGTGCAGGCCCTGGGACTGACTGTGCTCGTGGATGCCCGGATTTGTCCCCCGAGCTCTCCCCTCTTCTGGGGGCTCAGCCAACTGCAAGTGAGTCCTGGGCTGTGGCGCCCCCACCCCTAGCCGTTCCATTTGTGTGGGGCTGGGGGCAGGGATGAGCTCAGCTTTCTTGCAGGAGGCAGCCCCAGGGTCCGTGCACCAGGTGCTGCTGGTGGGAGAAATGCCAGAGAAGGTGCCTTCCGGGCTGCAGGTACTGAGCCACGTTGGCCAGAGGTCGGTGGAGGTGGGGTGCTTCCCCACCAGGCCTGGGTCACAACACCGTTTTCCCCCCTGCAGCTAGAGCAGTTGTCCTCTCTTCAGGGCCTGCTGACCCACATCTCCGCTTCCTGGTTACCCGCTTCCCTGGGAGGAGGCCTTCCTTACTGCCATCAGGCCTGGCTGCACTTCCGGATGGTCAGTGCACTGGGTGGGGCGTAGAGTGGGTACGCCGGCAACCTGGCCAGCCAAGGGGGAGACGTGGCAGGGGATCCAGATCCAGGCAGGGCAGTGACCACTGACTTGGACCCTGGGGAGTTGGACAGCGATTCTGGGTCAGGTGGAGCATCACAGAGCTGGCTGCAGCATCCTGGGACCCGGATGGGAGCAGCACGGTGCAGCCCTCTGTCATGCCTGCCCCTCCTCACAGCGTCTAGAAGCCCTACAGCAGAGCTGCCACGTGGTTTGTGCCCTGCTCCAGGGGGCCATTGACACTGTGAAGGCTCTGCCCCAGCCCCTGGAGACGGGGGTGAGTGTCTCCTCCTGGCTCCTCCCCAGTGCTTCCTGTCTCCCTCTTTTTTTCTCCCATGCTCACTTCTGCTACCTGTTGTCTTTAATCACAGGAAGTTGATCAGCTGCTACAGCAGGCACAGGCCCTGATGCAGCACGTGCTAGACTCACCACAGCTGGCCTGGCTACAATGCCAGGGGAGCTTGGAGCTGGCCTGGCTGAAGCAGGAGGTCCCAGAAGTGACCCGGAGCCCAGACTACAGGTAGGTACAAGCCCAGCTCCCAGATCTTTTTTTTAAATACATTTTATTGATTTTTTTATAGAGAGGAAGAGAGAGGGACAGAAAGTTAGAAACAAAGTTGAGAGAGAATCATCGATCAGCTGCCTCCTGCCCCCCACCCCTCCCAACTGGGGATGTGCTTGCAACCAAGGTACATGCCCTTGACCGGATTCCAACCTGGGACCTTTCAGTCCACAGGCTAACGCTCTATCCACTGAGCCAAACCGGTTTAGGCCAGCTCCCAGATCTTGCACCAGCACACCATATCCCATGCCAATGACCCGGTTGGCTGGCTCAGTTGTGGTCCTAGGACAGGGTGGAATGGAACAAGGCAACTGGCAGGGGTCCTAAGACGGTGTACCTTGCACTAGGCCAGCGGTGGACAAGGTCGATGAGCTGTATGGTCGTGTGGATGGGCTGCTGCACCAACTGACCCTGCAGAGTAACCGTCGAGTACAGGCACTGGAGTTGATCCAGACACTGAAGGCCCAGGAGGGCAGGCTGCACCAGGTGGGGAACTATCCGCCCAGACGGGCCGCCCCTGATCTCAAGCATGACCCCCCTAGCCCATAACAGGTGTCCTTGCCCCGCTTGCATCCCTCCAGATTGAATCGTGGCTGCAGCAGGTGGGCTGGCCAGCACTGGAGAAGCCAAGGGAACCCTCGATGGACACCCTGCTCCAGGCCCAAGGCCCTTTTCGGGAGCTGGACCCGGTTGCCCAGGTGAGTTTGGCCATTTGTTTATTCTGTAGGTACTGGGGCACTTTGCCAGGGACTAGCAATGCAGGGTGGGTGAAATCAATACTCTCGGGATTTGTAGTGCAGCAGAGAAGTTGTAATTAAAGGTTCAAAGTCATAAATGTGTGTTTGCAAACTGAGGCAAAAAGCTCTGGAGAGAAGCAATGCAGGTGGTTCTACCCCAGTGTATAAGGAAGACATGACCATCTGTCTCCTAATTTTTTTTGTGTGTGTGGGTAACCAAAATTTTTGGTGGCCTTATTTTTGACAAAGCTAGAAAGAAAGAAAGGAGGGAGAAAAAGGAAGGGATGGAGGGAGGGAAGGGAAGGGAGGGAAAAGAAAGAAGGGAGAGAAGGAAAGGAGGGAGGGAGGGAGAGAAGGAGGGAGGAAAGAAGGAAGGAAAGACATGACCAGAGGGATGTTGGGCAAGCTTTCTTGAGATAGTGACTTTTGAGCTGAGAGCTGAAGGATAGGTTGGGGTCACCAGGCAGAAGAGTGTTAGAGATATGAGACATTCCAGGCTGAGGGAACAAACAGCATGTGCAAAGGTCCTGTGGCAGGAGGGATCATGACTTGCCTGAGAAACTGTAAGGACAGTGAGGTTGAATTGCAGAGCAGAAGAGGGAGGGAGAGGTGGATGGGATGAGGTAAAACAAGGCTGGAAAAGTGCTCAGTGGCTAGATCACTGGGCCCTGTAAGGTGCATAATTTAGGCAGGAAAGTCACATATTCAGATTGTGTTTTAGAAAGATTACCCTAGTTTCTGGGTAGACAACAATTTGGAGGATGGATGTGGGGAGTCCCTTTGAGAGGCAGTTGCAGTGGTCCAGATGGGAAATGGTTGCTCTGGCCAGGATGATAGCAGAGGGAACGGATTAGATGGGATTTGATGGTAGACACATATGAGAGGGTAAGAAGGAGAGGGAGATTGTAAGAACGAATGGGCTCTGTTTCCAGAGAGAGGTACCAGGAGACAAGGACTTTCTGGGGGAAGGGCATTGGTAAATCCAGTCTTAGGTGTGCTTTGGGGATGGCCATGGGGGAATGAGAGGAAGACCTATTAGCATTGGGCCTGTTGCTTAGAGGAGAGATCTGGCTGCAGAGGGCCACTTGGTGGATATGGGTGTGTGGGTGACATTTGAAGTATGGTTACCAAGATTTCCTGGGGAGACAGTGGACTGTCTTCAGGAGGCTCGATGGTCTGGGTAAGGGTGTGGGAGCAGGAGGTGGTACCACCAGAGACAGATGAGGAAAATCAGGAGTGTGGGGAGGGTCAGGAGCCAGGAGAGAGGGTTGAGTGTTGCTGAGCTGCGGGTCAGAAGAATCTTGAGATATGCTGGGAGTGGATTAGATGAGATGAAGACATGATTGTGAGGTTTGGCTGTGGGGCTAAGAGGCAAAAGGAAATGTGTGGGGAGTGGGGAGAGGGTCTTTGATGGGAGAGACTTGATGATGTGTAATGTCAGTGAAGGAGACCAGGGCTTGGGGGCTAGACCATCACACCTCGGCCGCTGAGCCCAGTCTGTGTCTCCAGGAGCAGGTCAGGCAAGGGGAGAAGTTGCTGCAGCCACTGGCTGGCTGGGGAACAGCGGAACTGGGTCCCCTTGGGGCCCGCTTTCTGGCCCTGCAAGCCCAGCTGACGGAATTCTCTCGAGCTTTGGCCCAGCGGCGGCAGTGGCTGGCAGATGCCGAGAGGCTGTCGTGCTTCTTCAAGCAGGTGTGTGAGGGTCCTGCCCCTGGCCGGGTGGTCAGTAGGGCCTGAGGGGTGGCTGCCCAGCTCCTCCACAGCCTGAGCTCTTCCTGGTCGTCCTGCCCGTTCCCTCTCCTTGTCTTCAGTCTGACCCCTAAACCCAACCACTGGGGATGTGGCCTGGGGCCAGCACACTGTGGGGAGGGGAATGGGGAGAAGGCATGGCGGTCTTGGTGGGATTCTCCTTCAGCGCCTGTGTGGCTTTGGTGTTGCAGGCCTCAACGTGGGCTGAGGAGGGGCAGCGGGTGCTGGCAGAGTTGGAGCAGGAGCGCCCAGGGGTTGTGCTGCAACGGCTGCAGCTGCACTGGACTAAACACCCTGACCTGCCTCCTGCCCACTTCCGAAAGATGTGGGCGCTGGCCACGGGCCTGGGCTCTGAAGGCATCCGCCAGCAGTGCCGCTGGGCCTGGGCACAGTGCCAGGACACCTGGCTGGCCCTGGACCAGAAGCTAGAGGCCGCACTGAAGCCACTCCCAAGGGGCAGCAGAGCCAGCCTGTGTGCCAGCCAGTCCCCAGTTGCGCCTGCCACCCCTCTGCTGAGGAAGGCGTACAGCCTGGATCGGAGTCTGGGGCAGAGTCTCAGAGAGTCTGTCCAGCACTGCCACCAAGTGGCCGGTGTGGCTGGCTGTCACAGACCAGAGGCTGGTGCCCAGCCTGGGTTATCCCCCACGGTGATTCTGCCAGGCAGCTCTGATCCCAGGAGTCCCAACAGGTACAGGCATTGGGCAGGGCAGGGAGGGCAGTGGCAGGGCAGATGCCGGGGTCTTGACTTCTCCTACTTGGTAGGCTCCAGTTGGTGTTGGCAGAGATGGTGGCTACAGAGCGGGAGTATGTCCGTGCCCTTGACTATACCATAGAGAACTACTTCCCTGAGCTGGATCGCCCTGATGTGCCCCAGGGCCTCCGTGGCCAGCGTGCCCACCTCTTCGGCAATCTGGAAAAGCTGCATGACTTCCACTGCCACTTCTTCCTGCGTGAGCTGGAGGCCTGCACGCAGCACCCACCCCGGGTGGCCTATGCCTTCCTGCGCCACGTAAGCCCCCGCGGCTACACTGCCCCTTGCTTATTCTGCCACACCCAGTAAAAGCTGTGGGGCACATGCTTGGGGCCAGGCCTTGTGCTGGCAATATCTGTGGATGAGACTAGTAGGGCCCTGTCCCTCAGGGTGCTCATAGTTAGGTAAAGGAGACATAAAAGTGAACAAGGGAATTTCAGGTTCTGGTTGGGGCTAGGTGGGAAACAATCAGGAGAGAGATGATCGAGTTACCAGCAGGGCCTGTGAGGAGCTGATGTTGGAGCCAAGGCCAGACGGCGGGGCTGGAGTCAGAGTGTCCCATCAGAGGAAAGAGCTAGTGCAAAGCCTGTGGCAGGAAAGAGGCCCAGGGGTCCAGGGAGAGACGGAGCAAGGGGGCTGAGTGTAGTGAGCGGAGGAGTCCAAGCTGAGGTACGACCAGAGGGTTCTCAGAGCTGTGAGAGGAGCCAAGCTAGGTACGGGGCTTCTTCCCTGTGGGCAGGCCCCCTCTGCACAGGGCCGGCTCTTGCCAGATCACCCCTTGTTGCACCTGGGGCTGAGTTACGTGTCCTTGCAGAGGGTGCAGTTTGGGATGTATGCGCTGTACAGCAAAAATAAACCTCGCTCCGATGCCCTCATGGCTAGCTATGGCCACTCCTTCTTCAAGGTAGGTGAGCCTGAGTGCAGGGGGAGGTGGGTGGCGGGAGTACCCTGAGGCTGCCTGATGCTCTCCACCCATCTGGCAGGACAAGCAGCAAGCCCTGGGGGACCACCTGGACTTGGCCTCCTACCTGCTGAAGCCCATCCAGCGCATGAGCAAGTACGCGCTGCTGCTCCAGGAGCTGGCTCGGGCCTGCGGGGGGCCCGTGCAGGAGCTGAGTGCTCTGCAGGCTGCCCAGAGCCTGGTGCGCTTCCAGCTGCGACACGGCAATGACCTGCTTGCCATGGATGCCATCCAGGGCTGTGACGTGAGTCCTGCCAGGCCGCGGAGGGCAGGTGCAGTGGGTGTCAAGGGAGAGGCCAAAGAAGCTGGGCACCCACTGGGCCCCCGCTCGGCAGGTGAACCTCAAAGAACAGGGGCAGCTGGTGCGACAAGATGAGTTCTCGGTGCGCACGGGGCGCCACAAGTCCCTGCGCCGAGTCTTCCTCTTCGAGGAGCTGCTGCTCTTCAGCAAGCCTCGCCGAGGACCCACAGGCATCGACGTGTTTGCCTACAAGCGCTCCTTCAAGGTAGGCCCCCCGCCCCCACCCCGGGCCCCACGCTTCCCCACGCCTCACGCACCCCTCTCCGCCACACAGATGGCGGACCTTGGCCTCACTGAGTGCTGTGGGGACAGCAACCTGCGCTTTGAGATCTGGTTCCGCCGTCGCAAGGCCAGGGACACTTTTGTGCTGCAAGCTGCCAGCTTGGCCACCAAGCAGGCATGGACGGCTGACATCTCCCGCCTGCTGTGGAAGCAGGCCGTTCACAACAAGGGTAGGTCCCTGCCCCTACTTCACACACACACACACACAGCCGAAACTCCCCAGAGCTTTTGTTGTCCCACAGGGGCCAGGGAGGGCCTAGGGACCTGAAAGTATTGGGAAGTGGGGAGGAGGTCCAGCAGCAGCAGCAGCCAGTGTAGGGGAAAGAACCTCACAGTCAGTAGTCTTGCTGTCACTTCTCTGACTGTGGACACAATCGTTTTTTTTCTTTTTTAAATTTATTTCAGAGAGGAAGGGAGAGGGAGAGAGAGAGAACCATCAGTGATGAGAAGCATGGATCAGCTGCCTCCTACATGCCCTCACTGGGGATCAAACCCACAATCCGGGCATGTGCCCTGACTAAGATTTGAACCATGACCTCCTGGTTCATAGACCAACACTCAACCACTGAGCCATGCTGGCCAGGCCATGGACACAGTCTTAATCTGCGTATCAGAGGCCTCGTCTCTAAAGGGAATTATACCTGCCCCCAGGATTGTTGGGAGGAGAGAGTCTGTCACCCCCAAGGCTCAGTGCATGGGATGGATTATCTGCTGGGAATGGGTGTCAAGGAAACACTTATTTAAAGGGGAGGAAGAGTAGAGGCTGAGGGCCAGGCTAATGTCACAAAGGGCCCCAGCAATGCCCTCTCTCCACCAGAGGTGCGCATGGCCGAGATGGTGTCCATGGGCGTGGGGAACAAGGCCTTCCGGGACATCGCCCCCAACGAGGAAGCTATTAGCGACCGCACCATCAACTACGTTTTAAAGAGCCGAGGTAGCCGTGTGGGTGGGGTAAGGAAAGCTGCGCGGGAGGCAGTGAGGACCTCTGTCAGCCCGTCTTCGCTCCCCTCAGGACCTCGGTCCAGGTGGGCTCTCACCTGTCCTAACCTGACCCTCTTTCATGCAGAAGTTCGTTCTCGGGCCTCCATCGCTGTGGCCCCGTTCGACTGTGAGAGCCTCTACCTGGGGGCCTCGAGTCCCCTTCCTGCAGACCCTGCCTCTGGCTCAGTCCTAGGGTCCCTCAACCTGCACCTGTACAGAGACCCGACTCCTCAGGGCCTCCGCTGGCCCCTGTATTCCACCTGCTTCCCAGAGGAAACGGCGCTGGAGGCTGAAGGGGAGCTGGGCAGCCAGCCGTCCTTGAGTAGGTCTGGGCTTAGCCAGAGGCAGGGGGGCACAACTTGGGCTCTGGGCCACCCCTGCTGACAGCTCACCCACTCTCCCGCCCTAGCTCCTGAGGACTCAGAGGTCTCATCCCAGTGCCCATCAGCTAGTGGCTCCAGTGGCTCTGACAGCAGCTGTGTGTCAGGGCAGGCTCTGGGCAGGGGCCTCGAGGACTTGTCTTACGTGAGTGCCATTTTGTCTCATACGTACCAGCCCCTCCCCAGCCCAGTCTGGGCCTATGGCTGCCTTTCCTTTAGGTGGGAGGAGGGGGGCAGAGCCATTCCCTGGGGATCCCACCTGGACCCTGAGCTGGGAAATAGGCACTCATGCCTAGGTTGGCACCACAGGTCTGAGCCCAGGCTCGAAGGTGAGCAGTGGATCCAGCAGCCTATTAACTCCAAAGAGCATCATCTCTGTCTGGATCTCCTGTGACCTGGGCATAGCTGACACCTGGACCACTTCCAGCCCACACTCACTGCCCTATTGACTACCCATTCTGACATCTGTACCCACTGGACTCCAGGGGAGCACCGGGTCCTGGGCTCCTGGCTCCATGTCCCTTCCCCCGTCTCTCCAGTTCCCACCCAGTTGTGGGTTAGGATTAGGCTAGAGCAGAGGGTGGGTGTTTCCATGCTCGAGGCTGGTGGGCACCAAGTGGCTCAGCAGTGACTGGGATGCCCCACTCCTCCGGGAGGAGCATGGGCAAGTCCCAGCAGCTGCTTCTCAATCTTGGTCTCAGCCAAGCTCCTTAAACTAAGGGGAAATCCTCTTGGGCCCTTATGTTGCCTGCCCTGGCTGCCCAGGCCCAGCCCCTTCTTACCTGGGTCAGTTTGGTTATATTGACTCAGTGCCTTTTGAATAGCTTTCAGTTAGATTTGTTGTCTAAACTTATTTCAGTGGTTTTTGGCATCTCAGAGAGGGTTTGACTTGTTATTTACTCTTTTATTTGTTTATAATAAAAAATAGACTGATACATGCATTCTGGGACATCCTTGGTTCAGATGAGTCTTGGAAGCCAGGGACATGTGGGGTAGTGCCTATGGGTACCCTAGCCCTCTTGTAAGTACTTGCCCAAGATAGAGTAAGAGACAGACCTAGGCAGGCCCCTCTGGATGAGCAGGTTCACGCAGCAGCCGTATTTCCTGGCGAAAGGCAGTGTGAGCTGGAAAGGAAGGTCATTCTTATCCCTGATTTCCTGTCCAGTTGCCTGCTCTAGCTCTGTGTGGTCAGGTCTTCCTGGCTGGGCAGAGGCAGGCGCCAGAGCAGGGATAGGGTAAGGCCGTTGTTGGGAAACTAATGCTTTTGGGCTCAGTGCTACCTAAGGACATCTTACAGGGCTGTGGCTAAGAGTGGCTATCAGGGAACTGACCAAAGGGTCAAAAAAATGCCACTATTTCCCCACTTTCTGGCTGTAGATGCTGATTTCACCTTTCTAATGACACCAGAGACCTAATAACTGGGCACTAGTGAGTTTGTGGTAAAGGTGTTAGAATAATGTACTTGGTTACAGAAATACCAGATTAAAGAGAAATTAGCTAAATCTTTTTCACCTACAATTGTTTTAAGGAATAAAAAAACAAAACCCTGGGTCATTTCTTTGCCCTTCCTGGACATTTTCTTTTTCCATATAAAAACGCTTTAAAGCAGCTTAGGTATAAAAGGAACGTACAAAAGTGGTGACATTATGGTTAAGTAGGTGAAGTTGGTATCGTCTGTTGAAAAGGTCTGACTCCCAATAGTCTGTCTGATTTCAGCATCCCCAAGTCTTGGTCTTGTATGATATGCTTCCCTGAGAGGGGCTGTTGTTGTTAGTGGTGAGGACAAAATTGATATCATTGGAGGAAAGCTATAAAACCAAGTGCTTTGTGACCACTCTGGACTGGTTAGCTTCAGCTGTCCGTCCTCCCCACTCCCCACCGGACCCAGGGATCTGCGGTCTAGTTGTCCACCTTGCCTTCTGGGAAGCAAGACACAGTGCCCCTCTGAGGCATCCTGCATCCCAGTGGGGTGCAGGTGGCTCTCACCTCCACCCAGCTGTGCAGGCGCTCCTGGGTGTGCCGGTCATTCTTGAAGCCGGTGATGGCCAGCAGATCCACCACAAACTGCTTGGGGCTGATGTGCAAGGTCTGCCAGGAGAGCCCACAGTCAGGCAGGGCCGGGGTAGCTGCCTGACATATTTGCTCTCAGCCCCTCAGAGTGGGATGCACGGCAGGGACCGGGGGCACTGTCACCCCACACTGCCTTGGCCAAGGCTTGGTCCAAATGGCATTTCCCTGTTTTCCTATCCCGCTTCCTCTTGTCACCCTTCTGTCCCTGACCTACTCCTCACTTACTGTGGGAAAGAGGACAGGAGAGGGGACCTGTCGTGTTCATACCCACAGTCGGTTGGCCAGGGAGACCACCTTGGCTGTGATGGCTTTGGGGTCCTTTTGTCTGATGGAATCCAGGATGATGTCGGTCAGGAAGCGGTGACATTTCTGTGCATAAAACATCTCTTCCCAGGACAGAGAGAAACTCAGGAAGGTCACCTCTGTAGAGGAGAGAGTGGATGTGGCCCCTTCTGCCCACACCTAGGGCCTTAGAGGCAGCCATGGTAACGGCTTCTGAGGGGTACTCCCCCGGAGGGCCCTCACCTCGGGGCAGGGGGCTGGCTGAGGGCAGTGTGTGCCTCAGGATGTCCATCTGTGTGGTGTAGATGATGCTGTCCTCAAAGAACATGCAGGAGCCATCGTTGCCCACCACAGGGGGGTGGCTCACCTTGAGGATGACCCCTGAGCTGCCGAGGTCACTGGGCTCAGGCAGAGGCTGCTCAGGGTCAGGACTTTCTGAAAAGGTGTGGAGGGAGGGTTCTTAAGCCACCTCAGAGCTCAAGCAGGGAGGGACCTCTGGAATACAGTCAGTCACCCCAACCTTCCGACAGCTGCTGCCTCCAGCTTCTCGGAAGTGACACTCTGGATTGGTAGGAGGCGGTCCTGGCTCTCCTCTCTATGTTGCCCTGGAATCATGGCAAGCCAAATCCTAAATTGCAGGACTCCAAGGAACTCTCCAAATTTTGCTGCTGAACTAAGATGGGTATCAAATAAGGCCGATGATAACCCAGCCGGGGACTGGGAGCCTTGGTGGTTATACATTGAAAGGCGCTTTTGGGAGAGCCTTGGATGTGTGTCCACTCCGAAAAGAATGTTTGACAGAGCAGAGGAAGCAGTCCCTCATGGCCATTCTTGGCGCATGTGCTCTGCACCTCTCCCCCAGACACAGCACACCTCGTCTCTAGCTCTTTGTCCTGTCCATCCCACCTCAGTAGCCATCACTTCCTTACAGTCACCCAAGCCAGAAACTTGATCCCTCTGACCCAGTCCTTAACCCCCTTCTGCCCCGAACTGTCCAGCCTGTTTCTAGAATGACTCCCCACTCTACCACTTCCCTCCTGCTGCTGCATTTCTTCTGCTTTTCAAGCCAGTTTTCTGAACGCACCCGACTGCTCCCTTGTTTTTAAATTTTTTTTAATTGATTTCAGAGGGCAAGAGACATAGAAACATTAATGATGAGAGAATCATTGATTGGCTACCTCCTGCTCTCTTCCTACTGGGGATTGAGCCTGCAACCCGGGCATGTGCCCTGAGCAGGAATCAAACCATGACCCTCTGGTTCATAGGTTGACACTTAACCATTCAGCCACACTGGCCGACTATTTTTAATTTATTTTACTCCCTTGTTTAAAATGCTGCAATGGCTGCCCACTCCCCTTAGGATCAGATCAAAATGCCAGGTCCTGAACTTGGGCCACAAGTCCTGTTCTGATTGTCTTCAGTCTTATCTCCCTGTAAGTGAAGCCTGGCCTCCAGCTAAAACTGATGACCCGCTTCCACAGCACCAAGGCTTCCTTCCTCTGTTGACTCTCCAGGCCCTAGCTGTGCTCCATTATTTCATAGGCGCCTCCTTCCCAAACACTTTGTGTTTTCTCAGCCCCTCAAGCCATGCCATTGTGTTAGTCCCTTATCTGTATCTGCTGCTTGGCACAGAGCTGGACTCACCTCTCTCCTTTGACTTTTGCTTGCCCCAGTCCTTCAGGGTGACGGCTCTTTTTGTGGGAAGGTATGGTTTAAACGTTGGCTCTGGCCCTTTGTCTTTGGCTCCAGCTCCAGCCCCTGCCTGCAGACCTGGGTCCTTCTCTGAGGCTGTGGAATGACCTTTCCAGGAAGTTGAGGTACTGGGCTGGGAAGCAGCCTCACTCCTCGAGGGGAGCTGCAGGGTGGCCTCCTCCAAGGCACTGTTCAGAGGAGCCGGCAGCGGCTGGAATTCCCATTGTTTGCAGTTGACCATGTCCCATTCCCGCACCAAGGAGATGAGTTTTTGCATGGGTGTGACAGGAGGGTCTTTGGTTTCACATTTCTGTGTGAGATTGACTGTGGTGGACTTCTTTTTGGGGGGACTTCCAGGACAGGCCCCCCAGTGTCTGGGGTTGGCACATAGGCTGGAACAGTGGGAGTATGTGCTGGGATTGCCTGCCCGCTTGGCACCTCGGCACAAGGACATCTGGATGGTCCGGGAGTACTGCTCAGCCTCCTCCATTTGGCTGGACCTGGCCAGGGTCCCCTTGGCCTTGTTCCAGGGAGTCCTGTCATTGCAGTCCTGGAAGTCCCCAGGCATGCAGGCTAAGGTCTGGGGAGGGAGGGCAGAACAGCTCTGGGTACGTGTTTCCACATTCGAGCCTTCCCAGGTCTAATAAGCTGGGCCTCGGAGACTTGCTCACCCAGAATGATCCATCCCCCACGTGGTCTACCAAGGAGCTTTGCTTAGTCTGAATGGGGTGGTGTCAGCTCAGGGGCCTCTCAACTCCAAAGGAACATATCAGCATCCCAGGCCACAGCAGCCAATGTGCCCTGTGCCTCCGTCCAGGTTCAAAAGCCAGTTACTATGCTAGCTGCCCCACTCTGCTCTGCCCCCAGTAGCAAAGCCTGCGCTGAGCTTTGTGGGAGTGTCCTTTGAGGACACCACTAAATTAAAGAGGGCTGGGCCTTACTTCTTTGGCATCTCTACCGAACTCCACCAGCGACTCGGGCCCTTCCGTCACCACATGCAACCTCCTGATGGGAAAAGCTTCTTCATTTTCAGATTCCTTCTCCTGGGTCCATGACCTGCAGACTCCAAGGATGATTGGTTAGTGAGCAGAAGCTTCTAGCCCATTGCCCTGTTGAGCAGGCTGGCTGAGAGTGAACTCTGAACAATAGGGGAGAAGGGACATCTAAAGGGTTTTGGCATAAGTCAATGCCCAGTCCTGGCCTGCCCCTCCCCATTAACTCCAAGGAGAATAGGTCCTACTGGGAGGTAGGACTTAAAACAGGATTCCCATGAGGAATATAAAGGAGCAAAGTCCTCTTACTTGTACGCCTCACATTGGGCAAGGGCTTCTGAGAGGGATGGGATGTGGTATTCTTCCACCTCCTGGCAGAAAAGGGGCCACTCCCTGTGGACGACAAGGAGATGTCGGACTGGGCAGCTGGGTGTGAGTGGGTGGGGCATAGGCCTGCAGAGCTGCTGCCTCCAACGGCAGTACACACGTTGGAACTATTAGACCCTCCTCCCTGAAGGCTGCAGACCTGTTTCCTTTGATACTGAGTAATGTGGTTTTGTCATGCACTGTCCTTCCTTTGCTTACTTAAATTCAGATGGTAAGAACAGTTTTCCAAGTCTCAGGAAGTTGAGAATGTGTCGAAACATTTGGCCATCTCCGTGGATCAGCAGGGTCTGTCCATACGTGATCCAGTAGGCTCTCTGAGGGTTGGATAACAGTTCTGGATACTGCAAGGGATTAGATACCAGATTGTTAATCTGTTAGGGCTGGGTCTTTAGTAAAACAGATCAATCTTCTCTAGCTTCATTTTCCCGACCATTCTAGAACAGAGGCTTTGGGATCTGTTGGCCACAGAGAGCCATACTGGGGAGCAGAGCATCTAGGGAGAAGCACATCGTCTCTGCTTCAAGCTTTGCTGGTCCCTAGAACACCCTCTTGAGGCATCTGGAACACCACCCTCCCTTTTTCTTAGTCCAGGCCCCTCAGCCTGGCCTTCTCCCTACCCAGACTCCTTAGGGTCTTTCCATCTTTCCTACGGAAAGAGCAGGAGAAGGTCCTTGCTCTAAGCAGGTGCTGTAAGGGTCAGGTGACTGGCTCCAAAGCTGCTCAGCTACGGAAGCCTGGGGCAGCAGTACCTTCAGCAGGGTCTGCAGGGTGGTTGCATACCAGTGGCTTCCAACATAAACCTTTATGATCTGTTGAGGGGAATACACAGTAATCTCTGCCATCCACTCCTCATCTAAGGAAACGAATGAAAGGGGACATATCACTTGGGCTAGAAGGCAAATTTTGGTCAACAGTGTATTGCATGTTAAGACTCAATATCTTCACCAGTCATACTGTGTTGCCTACTCTGAGAAGCAGCTGGAATCCCTGACACCAACCTTCTTGGCTACTCAGGGCTTCCTGTGGCTCACCCTTGTGTTTCCTGGTTTCCAAGCTAGGAACTTTGGATGGGACAGGTAAGCCCTTTGGAATCACAACCCGAGGGCATCGCTCCTCCCCTGACCCACCTCTTTCAAGAAAGCAGAACTGAGGTTCTCGTCTACTCGCATTGCTACCTGCCTCTGGATTCCAGCTGGGTGTGTCCTGGGTAGGAAGCCTTTCATGTGGTTACTTAGGCTGGAGCTAGGAGTCCCTGGTTATGTTTGCGCTTATGGTTTGGTAAATGTCATAGCGCCTGCTCTCGTCAGTTCACTGTCACTTCCTTAGAGAACAGGCCTCTAGACATGTCTGTAGAATGGGGCTTTCTTCTGGGGATGACTAGATATTTGGGAACCAGTTAGATTATGAGCTCTGTGAAGATAAGGCCTGCATTTGTTTTGGTCACTTTTGTACACCCAGTGTCTATTTTTGTCTTGGTATATGGTAGGTGCTCAACAAATATCGCATGCTGCAGAATGACAATATACAGACTGAACTTGACCAGAAAAACTTTTGTTAATAGAAGGTTATAGGCAGATGGTGAAAACAACTCTGACTTTGGACTCAGATTTCACACCAGCTCCGTCATGATCTAACTCTAGAATTTGAGCAAGTTACTCCCCTGAGTTTCTGCCTCATTGGTTCAATAGACTCAGGGACTGTTTCTCCCTGGATGGCCGTGAGGATGGATAAGCACAGGATGTCAGCACCCAGTGCTGGAGCAGGCATGCCTTGGGGACTATGCAGCCCCATACTGGGTCAGTCTCAACTAATCAGTCTGTACTGCCTGAGTCTACTTGTGGGCTTGGGGTAAGAAGGGTCACTTCACATGAAAGTTTCCCTTTAGGCATAGCCTACAAATGTTGGTCTGTCTGGCTTTCCTTTTTCCATGTACAGTTCCTGGCCTGGCCAGCCTCATCTTTCCCCTCTGATCCTCCAGACCCTCCCCTGATGCTAAATTCAAAACAAGAAGCTTCTTTACTGAGCACATCCATGGGTGCCAGAGTCCTTGGCTCCAGATGAGTCTTGAGAGCCACTTTCATGGGCTCATAAGTGATGTCCTTCTTGTCCAGGAAGGCACAGAGCTCATACACCTCAGAAATGGTTTCGGTGAGGGGCAGCCGGCAAGTCCCCAGCCAGTTCCTGTCCAGGGAGAGGTCTGTCACAGAGAGCCCCAGTCCCACACCACTGATATCATTTTCTTGATTTAACTGGGAATCTGGTGTTGCCTGTAGGACAGTAAGCCTAGATACACACACAGTCACCCTTTTGGAGCTGATCTTGACCTATTTTAGTTGAATCCTCTAAATCGACTAAATGCAAGCCTCCAGGCCTTATCTCAGGTTGAAAAGCCAGGCCAGGGCCCAGCCACATCTTTCCTGTCCTCATAAGTATCTGCCCAAGACATCTAGTCATGTGGTAACCTGCCAAGGACTGGGTAGTTGACTAGTACCCGGTGTGCCCAAGAAAGTCTGAACATCAACCCCCTGCATCCAAAGGTGCTTGTCTTTGTCTTCTGTGGCATTAGGGGTGGGCTACAAAGGCCCACAACAGCGATATTGGGATAGGATAGCATTCAGGGTTGGCTGATTTCTCTCTGGCACTCAGAAAAACCTAGTTCTATCTTTAGTTTTGGTACCAATGTATTTTGTGAACCTAAAAGAATTGCTCCACCTTGGCCAGGTGGCTCCATTGGTTGGAGCATTGCCCCTTACACCAAACAGCTACGGTTTGATCCCTGTCAGGGCACATACTTAGGTTGCAGGTTCAATCCCCAGTCAGGGCACATACAAAAAGGCAACTTGATATCTCTCTCCCTCCCTCCCACCTTCTCTCTCTTTCTAAAAATCAATAAAAACATATCTTCGGGTAAAAGTTAAAAAATAAAGTCCCACTCCGAATCTCAGCTCTCCTTCTATAAAGCAGGATTGGAATGCACTAATGGAGACATTCTGAGCTCATCCCTCAAGACAAAGGCCAGCTATCACCTCCTCTGTGAAGCCTGCCTTGCCCTACTTCGGGAGACTCATCCCCAGCTCTGGCCTCTGTGTGTCCAGTGACCTCTGAAGGATTGCGGGGAGGACCTTTGTAGGAGGAACTGCATGGTGGTGGTGGGGGGGGGGTTGGTAACACTTAGCATCCTGAGGGTTGTGACTGGGGCTTGGTCACCTCAGACCTAGCTTAGGGCCAGACCAGAGCATTGGTTTGCAGAGAACAGAGATGTGGGCCAGTTTGGGAACCTTGGCACCTTGACACCAGCCCTTCCCTCCAGGCTGGGGTTCAGTGATGGTGGGGGGAGAGGCTAAGATGACAGTTTGCCCCTAAGGACACCAATTCCCTCTGGCTGGGGGGCCCAGGTGCTTCCTAGGGAAAGACAAAGCCCACCTGAGTGGGGCTAGCTGTGTGAGGAGGGCCTCACCTGACGTGCTGGAAGAGAACCCCATTCCCCGTGATGTACAGTCTAGTTCCGTCCAGCGTGCTCTCGATGCGGAGCTGCCCCAGGGCCGAGTCCGGGTACTTGACCAGCACACCCAGGGCCATCATGTACAGCGGCTTCACAGACTCCAGGCCGGCGGCACGGCCCCCCTTCCCCGGGCTTGGGGGAGGACAGGAGGTCCGGGAACAGCCACCTGTGCCGGGAGAATGGGTGACTCCTACACCCCTCATAGTCAAACCTATATCGGGACCTTTGGGTCTCCTTCCTGCTGCTTTGAATTAGTACTGAAGACGTTTAGAACCAGCTTACTTCCTTGCACAACCCAGGTCTGGATCTTCTCAAAATCAGTATAATTTTTCATTTCTGAGTCAGGTTTAGAGGTCAAAACTGTTAGTTGGGAGGGGGTGGGGAGAAGAGAAAAATCTGCTGCGTCACTAACATTTGGAGTTCAGAATTTTGGGTGCAGCAGCCAGCTGGCCCTGCCTTTGCAGGAACCTCTCTTAGTCTCAGGCCCTGCAGTAACCGGCCATGGAGAGTTTGGCAGCCACAGCACAGAACCCAGGTGTGTCCCGCTTCCCGGATTCAGTGTCTCCCTCTGGGCAGAATCCCCCCAAAGACACAGTAGGTGTTGTTACTTTCAGGTGGGCATTTGGTCCTGCAGTGGGCACAATGCAGTCTGCAGTGGCCACAGTGGGCTGCTGGGCAAGCTGCTGGGTGATTGTCATGGATCCTCTCCAGTCCCAACAGCAATCCCACAGGAGGGGTGGTGCTAGCCTCACATCACAGCTGAGAGACTGATGAAGCACCTTGTCCAAAACTGCAAAGCAGGCCAGGAGTAGAGCGTCCCCAGGGGTTTGAAGTCACACCCCCTTCAGTGGATTGTTAGAGCCTGGGACAGGCCCCGAGACCTGCCGCAGGATGCCATGGCCCCCAAATAGGATAGGAATTCCTCTGCCAGGAGGGAGGCTAGGAGAGCTGGACCTGGACACAGGGAAAGGCCCATTCCCATGGGATGAATGGTGGTGTGCAGAGCTCACTTCACACATGCTCTACATGCTCGGCTCCATACATTCTCCAAACGCCTGCTGAGGCCACACTGAAGCAGCTGGCTCCTGAAACATGCACAGAAACTTCAATGGATGTGCAGGAGTTAAAGAGTGGGATGAAAAGCAAATAAGAACCGTGAGGGGAGGAGCAAGCTGGAATGAGGTAGCACCAGGAGCATGAAGGCCTGGACTGGGTCAGGGTCAGCAAGTATCAGGTCAGGGCAGAAACAGTCACAACAGCCCGGTTTCGAAATAGAGGACAAATGGAATTTGGAGGTGGGTGGGAACACGGAAATGCTAGTGAGGAATTTGCTCAAGCATTTCCACCCCCGACCATGCCTGGAAAACAAAATTCAGGAGTGGCAGGTGGGTGCTCTAAGTTTCTATTGTCTCTCCACTTCCACAAGCACAGCAGACCTGCCTGACCCCAGTAAGTCTGCCAGCAGGCCCAGCCTCCCTTCCTAGGACATTCTGGCCTGGTTTCCCCATCGAGGCTGAGCTGGGCTACCTCCAGCCCCTGCTGGCTGTGAGCCATCCACCCTCAGTGGGGAGGCTGCACAGGCCACACAGGGCTTCACATGGACATTCCTCTTGATTCTGAGCCCAAACACCTGCTTCTTGCACAACCAGCCAAAGCCCAAAGTAGTTGTGGGAGGGGAAATGTTTGTTCTTGACTTTTCCGGCGCAAGCCTGACCACCCTGAACGTGAAGGGGCGGGCACGTTCCCCGGGTGACATACCCATGTTCATCCGGTACAACCTCACCGCTTCAGTGAGTGCAGGGATTTCTAGAATCTCCACTTCTGCTTCTAACACGTCGATATTGGAGAAATTATCCGGTAGTAAAATCTTCTGCGAGCGGAGAAAATTCACTTGAAAAGCAAAGGAAAACCAAATGAGCTAATGAAGTAATTTCTAATTTAACTGAAGGTCCAGGTTTTGACAGGTGTTTGGTGCTGCAACTTATCCTGGGCTCTCCTTGTTCTGAAACGTTTTTTAAACATACCTGTTAGATTAGCTTTACGTCTGCAGTTTTCAAGGTGAAAGACCACAAATTGCTTTGTCTTCCTGTATTTGAGGCCATGGGTGTGGTCTCCCGTGTCCTGGCCTGGGGCACCCAAGCCAGGACCTCCTGGTGAGCACATTGGCACTGAGACTTACCCTGTGAGTCTTGACCCAAGAGCAGGTCATTCCAAAAGGGAGTTGTCTTACTGCTCAGAGAGGAAGGGCCCAGCTGAGCCTGGGCTGGCAGGTGGCGCTTGCAGTCTGTCCCTACCTGGACTGCAGTGTAGGAGGCAGAGATGCAGCCCATGCTAAAGCCCTGTGTGAATCAACTTGGAGACTCAGAAGCACATCGCAACAACTTTCCAGGTGACTATGAATATGAATGGCTGGGGTTTCAGGCTTTTGGGCCCCTGGTACAATTGGGTCTTTCCTGACCTATTCATCTAGGCGGCAGCAGCATCTTAGAATCAAAGGGGTCATTCAGGTCACACCCCCACCAGAGCTTGTCCTGGGGCAGGGGCGGGAGGGAGGCTCTCTTCTGTCCAGGGTTGAAGATCTCACCCCTCCTTAGGTCACTAATTCAGGTGGATAATACTACAAGGACTCTGGGGAAACTCGCACCATCCACCTTCCTTCCCTTTTATTCTGATTTAATGGGAGAGCAAGTAGGGACCATCCTTTGAAATACCCCTATTTCCTCATTTGATGAATCTAGGGTTCCTTGGTGAGAGGAACCAAGGCCTGGGGCCCACTTGGATACATAAGGGCAGAACAAGATGAGTAGCTGATCTTGGAGTCCAGCTCAGGGCCTTGCCCTTCACACTAACTCATGTGGTCCATGACACTGCTGCAGTCCCTTCCACCCAGGACATCCCCAATGACAAGGAACAAAATAGCCCCGAGGCAAGAAGGAGTCTAAAACTGTGATTCTGCTTGCCTCCCAAATGCTTTGTCAGGGCCCCTCCACCTCTGCCCAGGGAAGCCCTTGAGGTCCTAGCACCAAGCCGGGCCTCTACGTGGGGAGGAGTGGATGCTATCAGTCCACCCCCCTCCTCCCACCCCGACCCCCATGGTTGCTCTCTTCCCGCCATAGAGCAATCACCAATGAACCGGAACTCGCTGCACTCGCACTCGATCAGGGCCACAGTCTCAGCCAGCCACAGCAGGTTGTCTTCAGTCACTAGGCTTGGGTACTTGGCCACTAGGTCTAGGGGCAGGAAGCAGTAGTGCACTTCCTCTTCCGTGTCTAGCAGTGGTGTGTCCATGAGCCCCAAAGGTGCCTTATCATGTAGGCCTGGAGGAGAATGGGCAAAGGGTGTCACCACCTCCTAGAGGCCACCAGGACTCTCACTGACCCAGGGGTCCCAGAGGAAGCTGAAAAGATTCACCCAGGAGATGGTCCCTGCCTGGTGCTTCCTTCCTCTTTATTTAGCTGTAACCCTAAGGATTGGCAGGAGTGAGGTGGGGAGCAGGGCATGGACATCTAGTTTTTTCTCAAGTGAAGGGCAGTGGGATATGTATTTTGGCTTATGTATCCGAAGTTATTAAATTCGCATTGGTTATCTATTTGGTTCTTTCTAATTGATCAAACCAACCATTATGACCTACAGGTAAAAATAGATCCTTTTGACTCTCTTGGAAGCCCCAAACCCATCCATAATCATGAATGGTTGTTTGGTGTCTCAGATAGGCTAATCCATTCTGCAAGGCTCACAGACAGTGAACACTTGGGGACATTCCTCGTGTGGTGGTGAGAGTGACTTGAAAGGATGGTGGAGTTCCCAGGCTACTAGGAAGTGTGGAATTCTGCCCAAGTGAAACCATTATGCAAAGGAGTAAATGTGGAGGAGGAGGTTTGCTGCCAGTTGGTGAGCAAATATGGAGAGGGCATGGGACAGGGTACAAGATCAAAGAAGATGACGGTGAGATAGAGAAGTCATTCAGAACTAGTTCAGAAATCAGGGTACTCTCTGGATGGAGCCATTTCTGTTAGATGAGAAGGGAAGGTGGTGGGGGCTTCGGGAGGCTCAGCCTGGGGTTATACCTGTGAAGGCTGGGCTCTTGATAGGAAATTCCGAGGGTTTGCTGATACACTTCCACGTTCGCCAGTAGTTCAGAGATGCTCTCTCGGCAACAGGTATGTCTGCAGGCCGCACGCGTAGATGGTGTTTCCCTTCCTTCAGATTATCTAGAGTCTTGGATAAAGAAGATGGAAATTCTAAACCAAATAACTATCCACCAGCTCTAGGGTAAAATACCAGAAAAAATAGTACATGACTTACTTCGATAAATGTTTTGAAATAGAGTCTATCACACAAATATGTACAAATTTAGGTTTGTAAGATGACATGCTGATACTAAAAATCCCAATTTTGATTTCTCTCCAGATTTTTGAAATAATTTTTGGATTATAATTTACGTGGATTAATAGATATCTGTTTTTACACAATCTTTTAAAAAAATATATATTTTATTTATTTTTTTACAGAGAGGAAGAGAGAGGGATAGAGAGTTAGAAACATCGATGAGAGAGAATCATTGACCAGCTGCCTCTTGCATACCCCCTACTGGGGATGTGCCCACAACCAAGGTACATGCCCTTGACCAGAATCAAACCTGGGACCCTTCAGTCCGCAGGTCGATGCTCTATCCACTGAGCCAAACCAGTTTCGGCTGTTTTATACAATCTTAAGAGTAATTCCTACTTAACTATCAAAAACTTGAGATTTTCTGTTATCATTTCCCCTTAAGAATTAAAAAACTCTTTTGACTGTTATAATTGTTTTGTCTGCTGGTGTGTGCTCCTCCTAACCACGGAACCTGTCTAACTAGGGAAATGGAGGTGGCACGGGCACGTTGTTCAAAGTGCTCACACCTATTCACTCATTTATGCCAACACAGCTTTGGAGGCAGACTGGTGTTTGCATTCCGATTTTGCTGATGTGCTAATTGTGGTCAAAGGATTTGTGACTCGCCCAAGCAGTCTTCCATGTCCAGAGCCTCTCCACTTCAAGGATCAGGTGACCAGGGGTGGGCTTAGGCGGGAGTGGAGAACCCCAGCCAGGCAGAGCTGAAGCCCAGGCAGGTGGGCTGTGTGTCTTCATGCCACCTGAACTCAGGAACCCATTCTCCCTCAAAAGTCCTGCTCAAGGGGCAGGTTATAACATCAAGCCCATTTTTTTCTCTCCCTAGCTTAGAAGAAAAATTTCTTTAGACATTTTTTGGATATAGCTGTAAAAGTCATCCTGTAAAGGCATCACATGGCCAGTTTTTTCCTCTAAGGGCCTCATCATGGATAAAAAAAAAACACCTCAGATTCAGTATGAAACTAATAAAAGAACCTGCTTTTAATTCCTATCTACCCAGGTGAGGCTTGTGAAATTGTTCATGGAAATCCCGAGATTTGAGAAGAGCCCTCTGGTGGCAATGGCTATAAACTGCACCCACACAACTACCGGTACTTAAGATCTGCAAAAGGTGGGGACGAGAGTGAGGCTTCCCCATGTAGGGTGGCTGGGGGACTTGTGGACAGACTGGGGTTTGAGTCCTGACACGGTCCCTTAAAAGCTAACATTTATTGCCCAGGCACTTTTAAACTAAATCCTCCTAATGTACCCTCCACCCAAAAGTAGACTCTAGTACTATCAGTCTCATTTAGCAAATAGGAAACAAGGTCCAGGAAGAGAAAGAGTATTTAGTGCCCCAAGTGGAGATGCTGAGAATGGAACCCAAGATTCTAAAGCCCATGTTCTTAACCACTGCTCTTAACCAGCTGCCTCCCACTTGTCACTTAGCCTCTCCAAGCCTCAGGCTCCTCACATGCAAATTGAAAAGAGTAAAATCTGGGAGGTAGTGTTGTAGGGATTAAAGGAAATAATGTTAAGTTTAATTTCATTTCTCTTAGGGTCAGAATCCAAACTACATTTTCACCTTCATCTCCCACCATTATTTCATCCCCACCCCATCATCAGTGGCATAAATGCCATAAAACTCTAAAGGGAGGAGGGAGGGAGAAAGGAAATGAGGGAACAAGGGAGGGAGAGGAGAGGAAGGAGGAAAAAAGGAAGGGAGGGTACTTCACAGAGCTAGACTCCCAACTGTCCTTTTTGCCTTTGCTAACTGAAGTTGTCATAGAGTGTGTGGTTGGTCTTCTGTGGACTTCAATGCCACTTCTATTTGTCTGAATATTACTTCTAGAATTTTTATTCTTCATATGAGCCATAAAGTTATTAGAAGGAAGATTTCTTTAAGGAAAATACAGATTTGAATTCAGATGGCTAATTGCTAGCACAAGGATAATTAATGTTTTTGGCCTAGATAGTAATGAAAAATAAATCAATCAGAAGCAACATAAGACTGATGGCACAGGAGTTGTTGTGGGTGTGGGTTGGGGGGGGTGATTGCCAAAATATGGTTGACAAATGCCCTGCTGGCAGAGCTTTGGGTCTTAATGGAAGCTTTCCAAGGGAGCAGCAGTGCTCAGAGATGCCCGATGCTCTGATGGGGGCTGTTGCTCTACTCCACATGTGTCAAACACAAGGCCCGCGGGCCAAATTCGTCCCGCCAGGCCTTGCAATGTGGCCCGCACCGCGCTGTCATCACTGCACTCCGCTGCGTTTCCATCACAATGACAGTTCATGACTGTTCAGTAAACCATTCGGCCCGCGATTTAGGCTGGATTTTAGATTTTGGCCCCTTCTCTGATTGAGTTCGACACCCCTGAGTCTACTCTTTTAAAAAATATATTTTTTTATTAATTTTAGAAGGGAAGGGAGAGGGAGAGAGGGAAACAACAATGAAGAGAATCTTTGGTCAGCTGCCTCTTGCACACCCTACACTGTGGATTGAACCTGCAACTAGGGCATGTGCCATGACCAGGAATGATCTCCTCCTGGTTCACAGGTTGACACTTGACCATTGAGCCATGCTGGCCAGGCACACTGCTCTATTCTTCATGGCACTTACTTCTGTATGACTATATGATTCATTCTTATATCTCCAGTGCTTGATCTGTAATTGCTGCTCAATTAACAATGAATGTTACATTGAGAATCAAGGCATTTTTAGACTAAGAATTGGCAAGCTCCATTTTCTCCAAGCAATTGTTTGTACATTTAGGCAAGAATCTGAGTCTCTGAGCAGGCCTTAGTGAGGAAAGTGATGGAAATGTGTGAGGCTGTTGATTTGCTTAATGACTGTTCATTCTCCAGCTGTATTTACACTCAGCTTCAGTGCTAAATACAGCTTCGGTTGTGCCAACCTAAATGTTTATTATTTTTGAAAACACCATTTCCAAAACATAAGCACTTGTTTTACGGTCTGTTTTAGGAAGGCCAATCCACATGAGTCTTCAAATACTCTACCGCACACAATTTGGAATTGGACCAACTCATTGGCCTCTGAGTGGTTACCTCCCATTTAGAAGTTGTTTTCAGTTATATTTTGTCTCAATTTGGGAAGTGAAGACAGCAAAGGAGTTAAAGGGTTTGATAAATGTTTGTATTACAGGCTTATGTGATTTAAAAATGGTTCTTAAAAAAAAAATTGCCTTTGTCTCTGGTTTTCTGCAGTGAACAAGTGCTCCTTCCTTTTCCCCACAAATCGGTGCCTTGTTATAGAGTCATCAGCAATCTTGACATGCCAGGCCATTTAAGTGATTTTGAAGCCACTTGTAAGCAATTCTAATAGTCCATTCTTGGGGTAGTTGAAAATTTTAAAAATTCAGGTGGGTACTACAAGCACTTGCACTGGAGTATGTTAAGCATTTTGATTTCTAAATATATAATAACTTTTAAGAGAAAACATTTAATTATTTAGTAAGGAGTTCCTATAAAAATATACATTATAAATATTCTCATTCCTACATGACCCAGACATGCATGGTCTACCTCAATTTCCTTGTAAGAGGTGTTGGGAAGGCAGTGTGGCTTGTTGGGCCAATGATTGTGGAGATAAAGTAAGAAACACCTTGTCCAGGTGGTGGGATTAATCTGAAGACTAGCTAAGGGTCCTTCCCACTCATCTTCCAGGATAATAAAAAAAAAGGTGATTGCAGCCTAGCCGGTGTGGCTCAGTGGTTGAGTGTCAACTCATGAAACAAGAGATCACTGGTCTGATTCACAGTCAAGACACAAGCCTAGGTTTCAGAATTGATCCCCAGCAGGGGGTGTGCAAGAGGCAGCTGATCAATGTTTCATTCTCATTGATATTTCTATCTCTCTGCATTTCCCTTCCTCTTTCTCTAAAAATCAATAAAAACATTTTTTTTCAAAAATGTCATTGTTCAAAAATTAAAAATTTACTAAAGGTAAGCAACAGAAATGATTTCTGTAATTTGGAGAAAATTTGAGAAAAAAGGCAATGGTTTTGGTAATACTCTATTAGTTTTAAGTAAAGGCATTTAAAGCTGTTATTCACAACGAGGATACAAGAAGTCTTGGAAAACAGAGAAGTGAAGGCAAAAGAAAGATTATGCAATTTGGAGGGCTTTTGCTTTGCTGTAAATGTTGTAGACCTAACAGGCAAAATGAGAAATACTACTCTTGACCAATCTTTTAGATTTTAAATCTCAGACAGTGTATACCTACAATTTGTTAAGTTTTCACCTTTTAAAATTCAACAACAAAAAACAGAAGCTTAAAACAGGGTTTCAAGAGTCAAGAGCATACTCTCAGGAAGTGGAAGTCTCATTCTGGATCCATGTTGGCTGCTGGTATAGATTAGGCAGGAATAGAATGAAATGCTTTATTCAGAACATGCACTCTCAGTGTATTATTACTTTAACTTACTCATCACACTTCCCTATTAAGAGGGTTATCTTAGCAACCAAAATACAAAACAACACTTAGTCATGCAAGGCCTATGTTTACTGATCACCACTCCTGGAAGAGAAGAGTATCTTACCTGCAGCAAAGGCATCAGCTGCAAACCCAGCGCTTGCTCATAGAGCAGGTTCAGCTCTGCACAACTGGAGAAGGAGAGTTTGGAGGTGTAGAGGTAATAGTGCACATGTCTAAATGTGGAACCATCTCTGTCAATAAACAGCCTCTGGTTTTCCAAAGAAGTCAAAGCTGAGGCCTCTTTCCACAGCAGGGAGTCTGGGAACTGAGCAAGTTTGCTTCTGGGAACTGAGAAATGCCAGCCCCCAACGTTGAAATGAAACAAATCCTCCGCTGACTCATGAGGCATGCCAGGCTCCTCCTAAAGGGGAATGAAAAGAGGACTATCAAGAAAAGAAATAAAAAGCATCCATATTGGAAAGGGGGAAGTAAAACTATGTCAATTTACAGAGGACATGTTTTTTTCATATAGAAAAGCCTAAAAAATTCTCTAAGAAATTGTTAGAATGAGTTCAACAAGGTTAATCAACATAAAAAGAAATCAAAATGTTAAACATGGAGTTACTGTATGACCCAATAATTCCACTGAATTCTAGGTTAAAAAAATATGCATGCTGAAGTAATTGGGATACAATGTACTGATATTACAACTTATTTTGAAATGCATAAAAATAAAATGGATTAATGGAGGAATAGATGAACATGTACTAAAACAAATACAGCAAAATGTGCATTGTGGATGGTGGTTGTAAAATGTCCACTGTACAATTCATTCAGCCTTTCTTAATGTTTCAAAATTTGCATTAAAATGTTAGTGGAAAGAAAGAGTGTTAAAGTAAGAGATAGTTGCCTAAGAGAGGAAAAGTCCATTTCTCAAAAAAACCACCTGAATCTCCAATTTTGACAACTGAAGAAGGAAAATAAATACTTGCTACAAAAGAAAGGTGTGGGGTTCTTATAAGCAGCCTGATCTTGATATTCAGATATAAAGAAGAACAATTATGTATGTCACATTTGAGGCTAGAAGAGTTAAAGGGGACTTAAAGAGAATTACAGATTGTAAAATGGTGTCATGACTCAGAAGCAGAGCTGGAAAAGCCAAGCTAATGACTTAATCTAGGCTTTTGAGTCTGACCCTTCTAAATATGGGTAATATGATCAGCTGAGAGTAACTAAGGCCCTCACTTAGACCAGAAAGCATAAATATGCAAGATTCTTGACTTTGCTTTCTGTTCTCCTTAAAGGTGACTGGATGGTTGAGAGCTCGGTGAACTGTGCTTTGAGTGTGCAAATTTTAGATGCTAAAGAAAACCAGCTCCTTGAAGGTGAGCCACAGTTCTGGTCTCCGTTCCTCTTTTCTTATTAAGGATAGAGGATGACAAGAGGGTCTCGGTTTAAGAGTTTGCCTCCTTCTTACATATGCATGCCTCATTCTCGGCTGGGTTCTCAAGAGGTGCCTGCTGTAGTGAGGATAGGGGTTAAGGATGTGGTTGTTCTTTCCAGAGTTTTTTTTCCCCAAGACTGCTCAAGGGCTGGCTAGTGCAGAACAATCCCAGCTTGGGGAGAGACCTTGATTACTGGCAAACTTTGGGGCCTGTAGTACTTAAAGCGCAAAAGGCCTCTGGCCAGACTGACTTCAGGAAATGGACTAGCTCTGTAGCCATCTCCACCCCATCCCAAAGAGCATCTTTCTTTTCCACACTGATCCCTCTCCCCCAAATCAATTTCTAGAGTTAGAACCACCGCATGCTCTAACTTTTCAGAGCCAAGTTCCCCAATGTTTCCCACCAAGACTCCGAGGGCTGCTTCCCAATACTTCAGATCTAAATCCCCTCCTCCCCTCGCCCCCACCTGCTTACCTGCCCACCCACCGCCTAGCCTCACAGTCCACATCCACAAGCGCTGAGGTGTAAAGACCTTCACCCCAGTCAAGAAGCACACTCCCACTCATCAGACCTGGAGTCCCCCAAATCCTCCAAGCTGGAACACTTGAGCATCCTTCCAATTTCTCAGACCCAGCACCCAAACCCTTCCAAGCTGGGGCCATATCCCCCCCAGCATGTCCCAGAGCCAGTAACCAACCCTATCCTCCACCACACCGCCCCCAAATTCGCCGTTTTAATGGATTTGGTGCTCGCACCAGAGTGGGCTCCATACCATGGTCCGCACTCCTGCAGCAGGCGGGTGGGCGGGCGCGTGACCCTGGCAATAACGGCCCCCAGACGAGCGGGAGGGGCGGGGCCTGGCGGTAAGGGGCGGGGGCCTAATACGCTGGGCGGGACCTGGCGGTAAGGGGCGGGGCTTGGAGGAGGGGCGGGGCCCAATACGCTGGGCGGGGCCTGGCGCGCGCCGGGCAGGCGCGAGGGCGGCGACAGGTGAGCCGAGAGGACCGGAACGGCCCGGCGGGCGGGCGGGGATGGCGGAGCAGTGGGACCTGGACGAGGAGGGCATCTGCCGCCTGGGGGCGCTGAACCTGGAGCACCCGGGTAGGGCCGGGCCGGGAGCCTGGGGTCTGAGGCTGAGGGAGGAAACTGAGGCGGAGTCAGGGAACCTGAGGTAGACGCGGGGGTGAGGGGGCGGTGGAGGCCCGGGCCCAGAGGCGGAGGAGGGGGTTTTTGAAGGAACTGAAGTCACCGGGGAGTCTGGGCCGCAGGGCGAGGAATTGAGGAGCAGAGACACAAGATGAACTCGACATTGCGGCCGGAACTCAGAACTGGACTGTGTCTGAGTGGAAGGGAACGGGGTCTCCAGAGGGATGTTGTTGGCGGGAAAAGGAAGGTGCTGAGGAGGGCGTTTGAGGCCGGGGTGCTATGAGGAGGCACGAAGGGCAGGTGGTTGGGGTGAAGTGCTCTTCGTCCACTCTCTGCCTTCAGAATTTGGCCATTTCTTGGACCCATCTGGATGCGTAGCTTCCTTTTAAGAGACCCAGAAAGGGCCCGGATGTGAAAGGAACAGCATTAAATCCCTCCGCACTTAGGTCAAGGCCCCAGCCCTGACTTGGTCCACCCAGAGCAGTGTTTCCCAAACTTCTCTCATGATGAGGATCACCTGGTGGCGTTGTTAAACTACAGAGGTTTGGGAAGCACTGACCTAGAGGTAGCCCTGGTTGAGTGACTCCTGACCTGACCTTTGCCCTGAGGTCTGACTCACACAGGTTGCAACATTTCCGGATGGAAATGTTGGGAAAGTTAGCAGCATTTCTAATTCAACTTTTACCCTTTCTAAATATATTATTAATGCCAAGCCCTGTGTTAATACTTTCCTTGCGTTATTTCATCCCCCAAAGAGCTTCTGAAGTGGACACTGTTATTGTTCCCATTTTACAGAATTAGGTTTAGATCTGGGCGCGAACTCCAAAGTCCCAGAGCCCCAAGGGATGCAGCCAGGGTTTATTAAGCCAGGACTCTGATCCCAGAGCCTGTGCTCTAATCGGAACACAAAGTTGGCTTTTTTTTTGTTTTTGTTTTTGTTTCTAGTACTTTTTATTTGTGGGATATGAAGTAACTTGGTTTTATTTTATTTAAAAATTACTATTTATAAAAATTGATTTCAGAGAAGAAGGGAAGGGGAGAGAGAGAGAAACATCAGTGATGAGAGAAAGCCATTGATTGGTGGTCTCTTGCACGCCCCCCACTAGAGGTCAACCCGCCACCTGGGCATGTGCCCTGACTGGGAATCTAACCGTGACTTCCTGATTCATAGATCAATGCTCAACCACTGAGCCACGCCCATCAGGATAAAAATTACTATTTAAAATTTATCAAAATTAGTGCATGTTAGTAATAGTCAAACATTACATGAGTGAATAAAGAGGATATTAATTTTTCCTTCCTCTTGAAACTTCCTCCCACCCTGACCCAAAGATAATCGTTTGTTTTTGAAAAAATAGATGCAGGTGTTTCAGATTTATTTTTTTCTTTTCCAAACTACTTTGAATGTCCTCATTTTATAAGTTAGGTATGAAAAGCTTTATTGGCTTACACAGTTTTACACCTTTCCTGCCTTTAAAAAATAATATTCAATTTGATGGAGGGGGGCACATACCCCTTCTATACTCCAGCTAGAGAAAAATATGGCAGATTTTTTTGCTTGTTTTTGTTTGCTTGCTTATTTTTTTTATAATATTTTTTATTAAATTATTATTTTTGTACATATACCAATGCCCCCCCTGCTTGCTTATTTTTATAACAAGACATTTGAATAACAAAATTGTACTCATTCTAAAAATTCAAACAATACAGAAGTGTTTAAAACAAAAGAATGTTCTTTGCTCTCCCTCCTTCCATACTGTTCCAGTTGCTTATAGAAACATATACACATAAGTATCTTAAAAAAAAAAAAAGGGAATAAGAGTGTATTTATTATTTGGCAATTCACTATTTTATTTACCAATAAAACACGGATGTTTTTCAGTTAAATGAATGTGCTGTTATATGCATCATACAGCTCTTCTGTAAAAAAATCACAGGTTATCTTTGGGGAGAAATATTTTCACTTTTATTCTGTACTTTACTGTTGAAATTTTCTGGGTGTATAATAAGTGTTACTTTATTTTTAAGGTCCAAAGAAATAATCTTGATGGTGAAATTGGAGGCTTTTTTGTTTGCTTGTTTTCTTTGTTAAATTTCTCTGTACTAAGAAATTCCAGTAAACATTTACGTTAATCTTTGCATGCAGAACATTTTTATTTTAAGGTAGTCAGGTTTAATTTTTCCTTATGATTTTTGCTTTTTGTGTCTTATTTATGAAGTTTTTCCCTATACTGGTGTAATAGGCTCCTGTATTTTATAAAAATTATACAGTTTTGTTTTTTCATATTAAGCCTAATCTATATAGAGTTTGTCTTTATATGTGATGTATGATATGATATGACATAATTGTATATTTTATTCTGATAGCCAGTTTCCACCCTATTGTCTGTGTCCATGGGTTATGCATATATGCATATAAGTTCTTTGTTTGATCTCTTTCCACCTACCCACCCAGCTCTGCCTTTCCTCTGAGATTCGACAGTCTGTTCCTATGCTTCTATGTCTCTGGATCTATTTTGTTCATCAGTTTATTTTGTTCATTAGATTCCACAAATAAGTGAGTTCATGTGATTCGTGTCTTTCTCTGATGGCTTATTTCGCTTAGTATAATACTCTCCAGGTCACTCCATGCTGTCTCAAAGGGTAAGACGTCCTTTTTTACAGCTGCCTAGTATTCCACTTTATAAATGTACCACATCTTTTATGCTCATCTACTTATGGGCACTTGGGCTGTTTCCAGAGCTTAGCTATTATAAACAGCACTGCTATGAACATAGGGATGCATATATTCTTTCTGATTGGTGTTTCAGGTTTCTTAGGATAT